ACCGGAGAGAAACCGTTTGAATGTCCTGATTGCGGGAAAAGTTTCAGTCGGAGCTCCAGCCTAGTGATTCATTACAGGATTCACAAAGGAGAGAAACTCTTTGAATGTTCTGATTGTGCGAAAAGTTTCATTAGAAAATCGCAGCTCATGAGTCACCAGAGAACACACACAGGAGAAAAACCATTTGAATGTCCCGATTGTAGAAAAAATTTCAGTCACGCTTCCAACCTGGTGATACATCAGAGGACTCATACAGGAGAGAAACCGTTTGAATGTGCTCTTTGTGGGAAAAGTTTTAGTCAGAATTCCAATCTAGTGAAACATCAGAGGACTCACACAGGAGAGAAATCATATCAGTGTCCATATTGTGGGGAAAGTTTCATTACAAAATTGCAGCTCATGAGTCACCAGAAGACTCACACAGGAGACAAACCCTTTGAATGCTTTGATTGTGGGAAATGTTTTAGTTACAATTACCAGCTGGTGATACACCAGAGGACTCACACAAGAGAGAAACCCTTTGAATGTCCTAATTGTGGAAAAAGTTTCATTAAAAATTACCACCTCATGATACATCAGAGGACTCACACAGGAGAGAAACCCTTTGAATGTCCTGTTTGTGGGAAATGTTTCAGTCAGAAATCCCACCTGGTTATTCACCAGAGGACCCACACAGGAGAGAAACCCTTTAAATGTCCTGATTGTGAGAAAAATTTCAGTGAGAATTCTATCCTGGTGATACACCGGAGGACTCACACAGGAGAGAAACCCTTTAAATGTCTTGTTTGTGGAAAAAGTTTCAGTCAGAATTCCCACCTGGTTATTCACCAGAGGACCCACACAGGAGAGAAACCCTTTAAATGTCCCGATTGTGGGAAATGTTTCCGTGATAATTCTGTCCTGGTGATACACCGGAGGACTCACACAGGAGAGAGACCCTTTCAATGTCCTGTTTGCGGGAAATGTTTCAGTCAGAAATCCCACTTGGTGATTCACCAGAGAACTCACACAAGAGAATAACCCTTTGAGTGTCCCGATTGTGGCAAAAGTTTCAATCAGAATTCCAATATGGTGGTACACCAGAGGACTCACACAGAAGATAAAAAAGGTTTCTGATTATGGGAACAGAGATGTGGAGTTTCTGTCTTCTATCTGGTTGTCCTCCAGATTATGAGCACCGTAATTCCCTTTCCACCACATAAGTAGTCCTCGAGATATAACTGTAACCGGGTCTGCCAGTTTTGGTTGCATGTTCTAATAGTGGTTAAATAAGATTACCTTACTGAACTACCCACAGTGGCTAGCTACCTCAGAGTTTGGAGAAGCTCTTGGAGGCCTAGCACAGGCCTATATTTGCCTTTCAAAGGCCTCCCCTCTTCTAACCTTTGGGTCCTCTTGAGCCTTTCCCTCCCTCACAGGTCCCCATAGGCCTTTCCCTCCCCCATAGGTTCCCCACATAGTCCCCATAGGCGTCTCCCTTCTCACAGGGTCCCTACTTCTATTGGATCCCTGCAATCCTTAGGCCTGACTCCTACCCTATCAGGCATCACACCCTCCTCCTCCATACCTTTTGAAGATCTCTGAACCTCAGCGGGGACACCGGGCAGGAGACGGATCTCTTGGCTGCGTGACTTCTTCGTGGAAGCAGCCATTACTTTGAACTGTACCCTGGATTCATCCCTGGGCCATGCAGTGGAGTTCTGGAAGCAGCTGCCATTTTGCCATGCCTCCCTCTCTGTCAAAATGGTGGCTGCTTCTGGGTCACTGTCACGTGGGAGTGGGATAGACTCTTCTGTTTTGCTACCTTAACACTTTATAGACTGTGTTAAGGGTTTGTTGGTGCCTTGAAAATGGTGGCTGCTGTGTATCCCTGTGTATCCCTGTGCCTCATGATAAGTGGACAAGTAGCACTTGTGACAGTACTGTGCTGCAGTTCCACAATAAAGCCATTACAGTCCTAAGCTGCATCAAGAAGGAATAGTGTTGAGACAGCAAGAAGAGATAGAATTGCTTTACACAGGGCTGATGACACCAAACTTAGAATAAAGTGTCCAGTTCTAGTCATCATGGTATAAAAAAGTTGTTGAGACCCTAGAAAGTGTACAGAGAAGAGAAACAAAGATGATAAACTGTCATTAGGAGGGACATGATAGCTGTCTCCCAGTACTTGAGTGTCTGTCACAAAGAAGAATAGATTGACTTATTCTCTAGGGCACCTGAGGGCAGGACAAGAAATAAAGGGTGGAATTTTAGGACAAGAAGTAAAGGGTGGAAGTAATGGGTGGAAGCTTGTTAAAATGAGGTCTATTTCAGAAATAGACTGGACAACCATTTGAGTGGGAATAGTATAATGCTTCTGACTTAAGCAGTGGGTTGGACTAGAAGACCTCCAGGGCCCCTTCCAAGCCTATAATGCTATGTTTCCATGAATTCAGAGGCAGTTTAGATAATAGATAAAGAGCAGCCCCATGAATTTGCTTCTCGTAAAGTGGCTTTTTTAAAAAAAATATTTTATTTGAAAAATTAATTTAAATTACAAACTTGAAAAAAAAATTAAAAAACAAAACAAGGATATACAGAACATTTAAAAGAAGGAAAAATGTGCATCAAAAGGACAAAAACAGATTTATATATATTATCCCCCCCCCACTTGAATATTCATAAATATAGTGGAGCAATATTAGTTTCCTTCCCTTACGAAGCAGGCCCAAAATTTATGAAGTTCTACCTCTATTTACAACCAATTTAACCTTCATCGATCTGGTATATAGAGAGGCAAAGTAGTTAACAGGTGAACCAACAGCAAAGTTAAAATATCAAGGTCTAAAACAGCTTCTTATTTACAGTAAGTTACATAGTGCCTGCTCATTTTTGTATCTGTCAACTGTCCTACTCTGCTAGCCAAGGAGAGAAAGTCCTGAGTCTTTTTTTTTTCCCTCCAAGAGAATACTTTACTGGAAAGCCGTGTGGGTACAGAAGTGGAAAAGCAATTCTAACATTTTGTATGTGAAAATCATAAGATAAATGCCTCCTTTCTCCCCTGGATCTCCCACTGTCCTTTGTCCATCAATCAGTTGCACCTTGGTTGTTTTGAGGATGATCTGCCTGCCTCGGAGAAGTGGAGGCAGTTAGAGCTCCCAGGCTTGTCACTTGACCTATAATTATTTTATCTTTCTAACTACATCACAGAAGCATCTTGATCTCTTTGGCAAGTTTTGTGTAAAAACACTGGAGAGCTTCTTTTTCAGTGTAGATTATACAGCCCATAAAAGGGCTGCAATTAAAATTGAAAACCTCCGCAGACAGGGCTGTTCCCTGACATGGGCAGAGAGCAACAGGGATGCAGCAGTCACCACAGAGGGAATCTGGGCACGTAAGAGGCAGATTCAGATGCTGCAGTTCCTAAAGCCCATCTGGACACCTCTCGGGTCTCAGTCACCCGCCTTCCAGATGCCCCTGGCCGCCTCCTAGCAGGGTTCCCTCGGAGGGGAGCCCCCTCCAGCCACGCTCCCTCTGGGCCCCAGTCCCCTTCCTCCCCTCCAGGCACTGGGAGGCTGATCCTCCTCAGCAGCTAGAGGGGAACGTGGGAACGGCGGTGCCAAACCTTCCGGAAAACACCAGGAGGCTTCAGCTGGGAGCCGGGCTGCACCAAGAAGTTGGGCTGTGGGGCAGGAGGGGGCTCGGGGGAGGGATTTGAAGGGGATCGGAGAGCCGTTCGCGGAAGCAGCAACTGAGGAGGAGGAGAAGCGGCAGCTCAGAGGTTCCCACGGAGCAGAAAAGCTCGCAAGGAAAGGCGGAGACTCGGAAGCGAAGGGGGCGCAACTAGGGGAAATTCACCTCGCTCTCCCTCCCTCCAGGAATCCCTCCTCCCCTTCCCGTCCCTGGGAACTCCCCCTCCTACTCCTCCCCCCCTCCTGGTCCCCTCCCACTCTCGCAGCGTCCTTGCCCACCTGGCGCCCCTCCCCCGCGAGGGGAATCTCCGCAGCCCTGGCCTAAGAGACTTCGAGAGACCAGGAAGGGGAGACGGAGGGGCAGGAAGCTGGATTCCCAGCCCCCTTTTCTCCTTTCCTGCCTCCTCTCTAGGCGTATTGCCGCCGAGCAATGCTAAAGTCCTCCAACCGAGAACAGCAAAGGACCGTCACCCTTCATGGAAGTCCTCAAGACCCAGAACAGGGATCCAGGTTAAAAAAAATGGTTGCATGTGCTAATCTGCACCTCTAAATGCAAATTAGGAATTCATCGCTATTGAAGGTGGGCGAGAAAGTGCTGCAGCTGTTGATGGACTACAACACCCACCATTCTTCACCCTGGCATTAGTCGCCGGAATTTGCTGAATACAATATCTAACTTTATGCAGTATGATTGTCAAGAGGAGTCTGGTAGCACCTTTTCTGACTAACCAATTGCATCAAAATGCATAACTGACTCTTAGTCTGCAAAAGGGCTAGTCACTGTTCACGCGACGGTTTGGGGCTCCCATGGAGTCACAGGTCTCTTCTCCCAACAATATGGAGAATACCTTCTTCTGAGTAGAATAGATGATCCATTTCCTGCCTTCCTTCTCCCGTTTTAAGGGTTTTCATCTCTAAAATGAAACTCTGCCCAAAAAAACAATTGATTCCCCCTTTCCACCAATAGAGTTGCATCTTCCCCAAGAATAAAATGAAATTAGGCACAGGAGCCATCAGACACCAGAACAACGCTCTACAATACAGCAAAAGGCCAGCCTCAATGAGGGTATTTCCTAACTGCTATCAGCAGTTGCGCTCAGAGATTTCAAACGGAGAGGGATCCTGACAATCGAGGGAGGCCACAAGGGACAGGGCTTTTTTCCTGCTAGATTGGCAGCAACACATTTAACTGTTTAGTGCTGAGGGAGGTTTCAAGCAGCTGTTACACTCATTTTCATCTCTGTACCTGTTGGCATCTCTATTTGGTTGCTAATTGTCCCTGCACTGAAGCTCCCTAATGTTTGTAGTCTCACAACGACAAGCTTTGGGAGAAGCACCCTGCCCTCAGGATTTCATTTGACAGCTTGCTATTCAGTTTGGAACTCTACTGCTGCAAAGCGTGGCTTTAAAGGAGTTAAAGCCACAAATTACCGTATTGCTAGAAAGGCTGGGAAGTGAGGCGAAGGACAGCGGAACTTCCTCTACCGGATCACTCATGGGAGGAGGGTGGCGTGCAGAGAGGCTCTCTGGCCCTTCCAAGGATCGAGGCATCAGCTGGCAGGTGAGTGGAGGGCAGGTCGGAGGAGAAGCCGGGAGCAAGTCGGGCTGTTTAGTTTCCCCCATAGCGAAGAAGTAGAGAAGCAACTAGGATATGCAATAACAGTTGGAAGAGATCTTTGAGGTCATCTGCTCGACCAGGAGACCTTATATATTTCAGGCAAATGGCTGTCTAGTTTCTTCTTGAAAGCCTCCAGTGATGGAGCACTCACAATTTCCAAAGGCGAAAACTATTTTTTTCCAGCTGGTTAATTGTTCTCACTGTCAGGATATTTCTCTTTGTTTCTAGGTTGCTCCTATCCTTGATTAGTTTCCATCCATTGTCTCTTGTTCTGCCTTCCGGTGCCTTGGAGAATAATTTGACCCCTCTTCTTTGTGGCAGTCCCTCAAACACTGGAATACTGCTATCATGTTACCCCTATTTCTTCTTTTCTTTAGACTAGTAAAGCCAAAGTCCTGCAACTGTTCTTCACATGTTTTAGTCTCCAGGCCTTTGATCATCTTAGTTACTCTTCTCTGAATTTTTTTCCAAAGTCTCATCTTCTTTGTAGTATGGTGACCAAAATTGGTTGCAGTATTCCAGGTGTGGTCTTACTAGGGTTTTATAAAATGGTACTAATACTTCATGTGATCTTGATTCTGCCTCTGTTTATACAACCCAGGATTGTATTAGCTTTTTTGGCTGCTGCTGCACATTGCTGGCTCATAGTCAAGTGATCGTCCACTAGGACTCCAAGGTCCCTCTACTATTTATAACTTTATTTGCTTCTAATTGTTCGCAGATCTGCTTCTTAATTATCTTTTCCAGGATCTTCCCAGGTATTGATGTTAGACTGATTGGTCTGTACTTTCCTGGGTCTGTTTTTTCCTTTCCTGAAGATGCGAACCACATCAGCCCTTTTTCAATTCTCAGGTACTTCCCCAGTGCTCCAGGATTTTTTTAAAAAATGGTGCAATGGTTGTGAGAGAACATCTGCCAGCTTCTTCAGAACTCTGGGAGGTAATCTGTCGCTTCCCAGTGATTCATATTTGTCAAGGTAGAAAGATGTTTTCTTACCATTTTCTTATTTTAATTTTTGTTTCTAGTTTCTCTTTTGCCGTAGTTTTTTTGGTATGTTGAGCTATAATTTCTTTTTGTGTGAAGACTGCTGCAAAGAATGAGTTAAGCAGCTCTGCTTTCTCCCTACTGTCTTTTATTTCCTTGCACCTTCTCTCTTTAGTGTATCTACAGTTTCCTTGATTTTTTTCTTGTTATTAATATGTTGACAGAACCTTTTTTAATTGTCCTTGATTTCTGTTGCAAGCCTTTGTTCATTCTGAGCCTTTGCTTTCCTGACCATCTTAGCATGTTTTGGCTGTCTGCTGATAATCAGCCTTAGTTATTTGTCCCTCTTTCCATTTTTTGTACTTGTCCTTTTTGTCATTCAGTTTGTCAAAGAGAGATCTTTGTGCAGCCATGCTGGTTTCTTCTTGATTTTTTTTCTTTTTCAGTGGTATTGTGCCGGACTGGGCTTTTATGATCGCATTTTTCAGAGTTTCCCATGCTTCTTGGGTTGTTTTCCATTTTAGGATTTCATCCATGGAATCTTTCCTAGGTTGTTAATATCAGCTCTTTTGAAATTTAAGACACTGGTTGGATTATTTTCTATTGCCTGTGTTTGCATTATATTGAATTTCAGTATGACGTAGTCACTTTCACCCAAGGTTCCGGTAACTTCAACTCCTTCTATCACTTCTTCTCTATTGGTAAGAATTAGGTCCAGTATAGCTTTATTTCTAGTTCCCTCCTCTATCTTTTCGATGACAAAGTTGCCAGCTAGGTTGATTAGGAATTTGTTTGATCTCCCACTCGCTGCAAAGTGGTCTCCGAGCCGGGCTGCCTAGATTGGATTATGGGTCTAGGCCAGTGATGGCGAACTTTTTAGAGACCGAGTGCCCAAACTGCAACCCAAAACCCACTTATGTATCGTCTGGTGCCGGATGGGTGTGGCCCATTGCGGGCGTGGCTCATTGGGTGGGCATGGCTGCAGTGGTAATGGCAGACTGGGTGGGACTAAAAAGTTCAATCAATTCCAACTTTGTGAGATCTTTTTTTTTCCCAGCGAGAAGTTGAAATTGATTGATAGAGTGAACCTTTTTTTTTGCACATGGCGGCGGAGGCCTAAAGCAAAAAGGTTTTATAAAACCCAGCTGAACGCCTAGGACTGGGGCGATGGCGCACGTACCCACAGAGAGGGCTCTGCATGTCACCTGTGGCAATGTGCCATAGGTTCACCACCACGGTTCTAGGGTATTCCTGAATATACTGTGACCCACCGGTTCACTGCCTCTAACAGTCTCCCTTCTTGATTGCTATTCAGCTGCCGGTTCACTGCTTTCAGTTGCTTCTTTTCCAGCGTTGTGCTGCTGAGTTGGGCTCCTGAGCAGGATCTGTCATTCCCTGCTGCCGGCTGCCTCCGACTCCACATGCAGCCATTCATTCACTGTGCTCCTGTTTGCTGGTGTTTTCCTCCTTACTCCACTTTCTTCTTTTCCTTTATCCTTTCTATGCTCCTTATCTAACTTCCTACTCCTTTTTCCTCCCTTTTTTCCCCTCTCTTTGTACCTTCTACTTAGTTTAGTAACTTCTCTCTCCGTGATCTGATACTGCTTCCTATGCTGCTGCCGTCTTGCCATCCATTTTGGTGCAGTAGAATAAGGTACTAACATAAAACCTCAAATATTTACTTTTATATGATAATATAAGCTAGCCACTTCTATAACAACAAACTTATCTAATCAACAAAACCCCAAATCAAACTTTCATTCTTTTCTATCTCAAGAATAAAGTCACAAAACAGTTCCCATGTAGAAACAAAATTAATCTTGTTCTTTTTTTTAATCAAGGTAGTCAATTTAGCCATCTCTGCTAACTCCATCAAGCTTTGCAATTATTCATCTATTGTGGGAATGAACATATTCTTCCATTTTTGTGCATAAAGTGCCACCATCAACATATATAACATCAATGTTCTATTTTTTTCCAAGTTATTTGTCCAGTAAGCCTAAAAGAAAACTATCTGGTTTTATCCCAAATATGCTTTTTCACGAGACAATTGGACTTTCTTGTTTTTCTTTTCTTCTCATCCTAGAAGCTTCTTCAGTTCTGACTGGATGGTGGGGAATTGAAGGATTTGTACTCCTTGCAGATAGCTGTTCCTTTGCATTTTTTTAGCGAGTTGTTAAAGCTCCCTGGAGGCTCATCTGTGTCTTCAGGGTCACCTGAGTAGTGCAAATGTATGTGGAGCCTTCTTGGAACTGTTGAAAGGACTATGTTGTAGACTGGAGATAGATGACGTCGGATCCCTCCCCCTCTGTTGAGAGAGGGCTGTTCAATTTTGACATAGATGGCCTCTTTGACCCCTCTTTCAAACCCCTCTTTCAAATTTGTTTTATCTTTAGTTGATTTTTTAGTTATAATCAAAGTTTGAGTTTGGATATCTAAGCTGCTTTCTGGGGTTTTTTTTGTGAAAGCTCTCATTTCGTCGCCAGCTGTAAGAAGGGTTTGATAAATTACTTTCAACGTAGCAAGAATTTGTTCCTGGTTTTCCTCCATAAGAAAAGTCTGTTCCTGGTCTTCTTCCATAATGATGAGTTAAATTAGAAGCTTTTAGAGATTTGTTTTTTCATAAATAGAAAGCACAGCCAAGTCTCTCACAGCTGGTGTTCAAGGTTGCATGAATCTTATTTTCTGGGCTGTCAGCCAAGTCTCTTTTAGAAAATAATAAATTGCAGTTTCAGGTTTAGCCACAAGATGTCGCCCCACCATTTAAAGATTTCCTTTGAGTCTCAAAGTTATTTTAATCCTTTCCGTTTTGCTTCTGTTTTATGAGGAAAAACCCAGATGTTCAATAAAAATAGAAAGTAAATAATAGAAAATCTTTTAGTCCACAAATTTTAGGAAATAAAATTCCGATTGGGATCCAATTATTTTTCAACATTTTAAATTCCCCTGGATAATAGGTCTCCGTTTTTTCTGGAGGGAGGGCTAAAATCCCCCTTCCCTCTCTACAGGGGGGAAAGTACTTTAGCAGTCTCTTCCACCGCTGCTTTAATGTTGCCAGATGGTAAGTATGACTTTGGCTGTCCGCTTTAATGTTGCCAGATTGTAAGTGTGACTTTGGCTGTCCACAGTCTAGTGACCGGCCATATTGCTATAGCCAGTCTTTCATCCATCATTTGGAGGGAACACCGGCTTTAAGGCTTTAACAAGAGAGCTAACGCTCTCCTGCGATTCAGCGATTCCTCTCCTTTTTGGTTGTGTCTACGGGGTGATTTTTTGACCCTTTTAAGGCCTCCCAGGGATGCGAAACTGGATGAGGAAGACAGAGCTTCCAAGCATCCATGGTGGCCATGGTGGCAAACCAGAAATCCAAGTCTGGTTTTATCTTTATATTCTCTTTAAGTCTTCTCTATTAAGATGTGTATCCTACTCCAATATTTCTTTCCTTTGTTACATGTCTACCATAAATGTTAAAAAGCTCTTCTTTGTGTTTCCAAACTTCACTGCTATTATATCATTCCCTAAGCATGTCATATCATAAATAGTCATGCCATCAAAATCTAAATTCATGGCCCTCTAGCTCAAGTAACCTCTTATTTTGAAGAGTCACCCACTCTTTTTGTCAAACAAAACAAAAAAGCATCAAAGGACAATTTCAAATCTGGTAAACCCAAGCCTCCTCTTTCGTTAGCATCTTGAAAATAATTTATATTTAATTCTTGGTTTTTTTCCCCTTGCAGTATAAACTTGGAGATCTCTATCTGCCACTCTTTAAATGGAGTATCAGTTACAAATATTGGCAAAGTCTGAAACAGAAAATGCATCTTGGTAATTAGGATGCTGAAGGCTAAATCATACAAAGAATGATTACAGGAATTGGGTATGTCTAGTCTAATCTGAAGGACTAACGGAGACATGATAGCAGTGTTCCAATATTCGAAGGGCTGCTACAAAGACAAAAACAAATCAATTTTCTGAAGAACCAAAAGAAACAATAGAAACTAACCAAGGAGAGAAGCAACCTAGAACTAAAGAGAAAATTCTTAACGATTACAGCCATCAACCAGTGGAATAGCTTGCCTTCAGAGGTTTTGGATGCTCCATCACTCAAGGCTTTCAAAAAGAGATTTGACAGCCAGTTGTCTGAAATAGTATAGTAGGGGTCTTCAAACATGGCCCTTTTATGACTTGTGGACTTCAATGCTGGCTTAAGGAATAATGGGAGTTGAAGTTCGTGAGTCATAAAAGGGCCAAGGTTGAAGACCCCTGTGGTATAGTGTCTCCTGCTTGAGCAGAGGGTTGGACCAGAAGACCTTCAAGGTCCCTTCCAACTCTATTATTCTATGTTATATGTTGTATTGATCTTAATGACAGAGATTCTATCAAATAGTTGCCGTACTAAAAAGTTGTGATTGACCCAAGTCAACAAGAGAATTTCATGGTTGAATGCAAATGTGAACTTGAATCTCACTAATCTTGCAATGTGTAAAATGAATCATAATTAATGTAAGAGGTTATTTTAATATTGTGGCATGTTTGTTTTTTATGTCTTTTTCTTTCTCATTTTTTACATCTTCAGCAACCATTTTATAAACAATAAGTTACACTTTTCTTTGAATCTTATAGACAAAGAGGATGCCAATAAGAGCGCTCCAGACAACTGAGAATAACAAGCTACGTTAAAAAGGAAAGCAAATCAAGCCTGAAATGAAAATATTTTCCATTTCCTTCAAAAAAAAAAAAAACCCCACATAATTCTTCTCCTTCTCCAGGACGTGATCAAGAAGAGATTACAAACTGGAAAAAGTAGAGTATGCAGAACTCAAGGAAACATTACAGGTAGTCCTTGACTTAGAACACTTCATGTAATGACCGTTCAAAGTTACAACAGCACTGAAAAAAGTGACATGACTCATTTTTTAAGCTTATAACTATTGCAGCGTTCCCATGGTCATGTGATTTATATTTGGATGCTTGGCAGCTAACTCACATTTATGATGGTTGCAGTGTTTTGGGATCATGTGATCCCCTTTTGCAATCTTCTGACAAGCAAAGTCAATGGGGAAGCCAGATTCACTTAACAACTAATTTAACAACCGCAGTAATTCAGTTAACAAACTGACAAGAAAAACTATAAAATGGGGCAAAGCTCACTTAACGAGTGCCTCACTTAGCAACATCAATTTGGGGCATAATTGTGGTTGTAAATCAAGGACTACCTGTACATGAAAAGGTCAAAGGAGATTATTTTTTCCATTCACAAAAAGAAGGAAATGTCTGGAAGTCAGTGTGGAGGAAAAGGTCAATTGGATAGTCACACAGGGCAGACAGCGATACAAGCCTTGCCCTGGGAGGAAGAAAACGGCTTGAATCAAAGCACCACTAAACAAGGGATCACATATATTTTTGACCACAAGTGCTCCCAAAGTAGAGAGCGTGGTAACTTGATGATACATTAAATAACTCACACCATGGAGAAACCCTTGGAAAGCTCTGATTTGGGGGAAAGTTTCAGTCAGAACTCCAATCTGATGACACACCAGACGTGGCACACAAAAAAGAAATATGAGTGTTGTGATTGTGGGAAATGTTTTATTGCAAATTCCCACCTTGTGATGCACCAGAGAACACATACAGGAGAGAAACCCTTTAAATGTCCAGTTTGTGGGAAAACTTTCAGTCACAATTCCAACCTGATGAAACACCAGAGAACTCACACAGGAGAGAAATATCAATGTCCATATTGTGGGGAAAGTTTCATCACAAAATTCCAGCTCACGAGTCACCAGAGGACTCACACAGGAGACAAACCCTTTGAATGCTCTGATTGTGGGAAATGTTTTAGTTACAATTCACACCTGGTGATACACCAAAGGATTCACACAGGAGAGAAACCCTTTGAATGTCCTGATTGTGGAAAAACTTTCATTAAAAATTACTGCCTCATGATACACCAGAGAACTCACACTGGAGAGAAACCCTTTGAATGTCCTGATTGTGAAAAATGTTTCAGTCGAAGTTCCAGTCTGGTGATACACCAAAGGACTCACACAGGAGAAAAACCCTTTGAATGTCCTGATTGTGCAAAAAGTTTCAGTTGGAGCTCCAGCCTAGAGATTCATCAGAGGATTCACAAAGGAGAGAAACTCTTTGAATGTCCTGATTGTGGGAAAAGTTTCATTACAAAATTGCAGCTCATGAGTCACCAGAGGACACACACAGGAGACAAACCATTTGAATGTCTTGACTGTGGAAAAAAATTCAGTCACAATTCCAACCTGGTGATACACCGGAGGACTCACACAGGAGAGAAACCGTTTGAATGTGCTCTTTGTGGGAAATGTTTTAGTCAGAATTGCAGTCTGGTGAAACACCAGAGGACTCACACAGGAGAGAAATCATATGAGTGTCCGGTTTGTGGGAAACGTTTCAGTCACAATTCCAATCTTGTGGAACACCAGAGGACTCACACAGGAGAGAAATCATATCAGTGTCCATACTGTGGGGAAAGTTTCATTACAAAATTACAGCTCATGAGTCACCAGAAGACTCACACAAGAGAGAAACCCTTTGAATGTCCTGATTGTGGAAAAAGTTTCATGAAAAATTACACCCTCATGATACACCAGAGAACTCACACAGGAGAGAAACCCTTTAAATGTCCTGATTGTGGGAAAAGTTTCAGTGAGAATTCCCACCTGGTGATTCACCGGAGGACCCACACAGGAGAGAAACCCTTTAAATGTCTTGCTTGTGGAAAACGTTTCAGTCAGAATTCCCACCTGGTGGTTCACCAGAGGACTCACACAGGAGAGAAACCCTTTAAATGTTCTGATTGTGGGCAATGTTTCAGTGAGAATTCTGTCCTGGTGATACACCGGAGGACTCATACAGGAGAGAGACCCTTTAAATGTCCTGTTTGTGGGAAATGTTTCAGTCAGAAATCCCATCTGGTGATTCACCAGAGGACTCACACAGGAGAAAAACCCTTTGAGTGTCCTGATTGTGGCAAAGGTTTCAGTCAGAATTCCAATATGCTGGTACACCAGAGGACTCACACAGAAGATAAAAAGGGTTTCTGATTGTGGGAAACATTTCTGTTTCAATTCAAACCTGGTGAAACACCAGAGGACTCAAATGGAGGAGATCTTTCTTTTTTTTTAAGTTTTTATTAAGTACAAAGAAAAAAAAGGATTAAAAACATTGAACATGGTAAATTGTCTTTGACTGACATCTTAGTCCATGTTGTATATTAATTACATATAATATATCTATATACATTTCTGGTCTCTGTCTCAACTTATCTCTTTACTGTGACCTCCATTTTGTCCCTCCATCTATAAAATTTATTCCATATTCGATAAAATTCTGTTTCTTCCTGATTTTTTAATCTTTTAGTTATCCTATCTAGTTCTGCGCAATACATAATTTTCTTTATTAGTACTTCCCCACTTGGTACTTCCATTGCTTTCCACTCTTGAGCAAATAGTATCCTTGCTGCTGTAACCACATGGATAATTAAATATGTGTCCTCTTTATTTACATTTTTCTCTAGTATTCCTAATAGTAGTATATTAGGTTTGTATTGAATGTTTTGCCTAGTCATTTCTATTGCCCATTCCCAGACCATACGCCAATACACCTATGCTTCTCTACATGTCCACCATACATGAAAAAAGTGCCCTTTTCTTTTTTACATTTCCAACACATAGATGAATATCCGTTATACATTTTGGCTAATCTGGCCGGAGGGAGATGCCATCTGCAAACCATCTTATGCAGGTTTTCTTTACATGATGTCGCCACTGTGATTTTGTTATTTCGCTCCCATACTTGCTGCCATTGATCCATATTTATATTATATCCTAGATCTATTGCCCATGTGACCATTGTTTCTTTAACCCGCTCCTCATATAGCTTATGTTCCAACAGGTGTTTATAAATATTCTTTATTTGTTTTTTCTCCGGGCCTAGCAGTATTTTATCTAACCCTTTATCTTGTCTGTTAATTCCCCATTCTTGCTTATTCTTCATGTATCCTGCTTGTATCTGGAGATAAGACCACCACTCCATGTCTATTCCTTGTTGTCTTAGCTCTTGTTTTTGTTTTAAATAACCTTCTTCTGTCAAGATGTCTTTATATATAATAGCTTTGTCTTTCCTGTACAAGTTGGGATGTGTGACTGCCTAATGGAGGAGATCTTTCAAATGTCCAGTCTCTGGATGGTACTTCAGGTTTAAATCACTCTTTATCGCATACAAGAAAATCCACGAGGCAAACATTGATGAGTGTAGAGAAGGCTTGAATTTTGTTCCTGATCTCCCTTTGAGAGTGTAGCTGAGAAACTGACTCTTTGAATTCTGGCCTGATCCTTTTTATTCAACACATCTCAGATTTAGACCAGTAGGTAGAGAGAGAAAAGTGGAAACTTTTACTTTGATAAAGGCTAACTACTTGTTTCTGGTAATCAGCAGAAATTACTGAATATTTTCTTTTGCAGAAGTTGTGGGATTCCTCAAAAAGGCTCTTGGGTTTCGGTTTTTATATATTGATTATGGAATTCCAACATGTGGAGTTTCTGTCTTCTATCTTGTTGTCCTCCAGATTATGAGCACCGTAATTCCCTTGCCACCATATAAGTAGTCCTCGAGATATAATCGGGTCTGCCAGTTTTGGTTGCATGTTCTAATGGTGGTTAAATAAGATTACCTTACTGAACTACCTACACACCCTTCTCTCTCTGATGAAAAGTCAAATGAATGTGCAAATTGCTAAGCGCAACAGTGGCTACCTCAGCGTTTGGGGAAGCTCTTGGAGGCCTAGCGCAGGGCCAGATTTGCCTTCCAAAGGCCTCCCCTCTTCTAACCTTTGGGTCCTCCTGGGCCTTTCCCTCCCTCACAGGTCCCCATAGGCCTTTCCCTCCCCCATAGGTTCCCCACATAGTCCCCATAGGCATCTCCCTTCTTACAGGATCCCTACTTCTACTGGATCCCTGCAATCCTTAGGCCTGACTCCCACCCTATCAGGCATCACAGCCTCCTCCTCCATCCCTTTTGAAGATCTCTGAACCTCAGTGGGGACACCGGGCAGGAGACGGATCTCTTGGCTGCGTGACTGCATCGTGGAAGCAGCCATTACTTTGAACTGTACCCTGGATTCATCCCTGGACCATGCAGTGGAGTTGTGGAAGCAGCTGCCATTTTGCCATGCCTGCCTCTGTGTCAAAATGGTGGCTGCTTCTGGGTCACTGTCGCGTGGGAGTGGGATAGACTCTTCTGTTTGCTACCTTAACACTTTATAGACTGTGTTAAGGGTTTGTTGGTGCCTTGAAAATGGTGGCTGCCTCCAGGAGATCTCCAAAAGGGCAGGCCATGTATCCCTGGGCCGCATGAGAAGTGGACAAGTAGCACTTGTGACAGTATTGTGCTGCAGCTCCACAATAAAGCCAATACAGTCCTAAGCTGCATCAAGAACGAATAGTGTTGAGACAGCAAGAAGAGATAGAATTGCTTTACACAGGGCTGATGACACCACACTTAGAATAAAGTGTCCAGTTCTGGTCACCATGGTATAAAAAAGTTGTTGAGACCCTAGAAAGTGTACAGAGAAGAGAAACAAAGATGATAAACTGTCATTAGGAGGGACATGATAGCTGTCTCCCAGTACTTGAGTGTCTGTCACAAAGAAGAATAGATTGACTTATTCTCTAGGGCACCTGAGGGCAGGACAAGAAGTAAAGGGTGGAATTTTAGGACAAGAAATAAAGGGTGGAAGTAATGGGTGGAAGCTTGTTAAAATGAGGTCTATTTCAGAAATAGACTGGACAACCATTTGAGTGGGAATAGTATAATGCTTCTCACTTGAGCAGTGGGTTGGACTAGAAAACCTCCAGGGTCCCTTCCAAGCCTATAATGCTATGTTTCCATTAATTCAGAAGCAGTTTAGAAAATAAATAAAGAACAGCCCCGTGAATTTGCTTCTTGTAAAGTGGCTTTTTTAAAAAATATATTTTATTTGAAAAATTAATTTAAATTACAATCTTGAAAAAAAAATTAAAAAACAAAACAAGGATATACAGAACATTAAAATAGAAGGAAAAATGTGCTTCAAAAGGACAAAAACAGATTTACAAATATTATCCCCCACTTTAATATTCATAAATATAGTGGAGCAATATTAGTTTCTTTCCCTTACGAAGCAGGCCCAAAATTTATGAAGTTCTACCTTATTTACAACCAATTTGACCTTCATCGATCTGGTATATAGAGAGGCAAAGTAGTTAACAGGTGAACCAACAGCAAAGTTAAAATATCAAACCCCGTTGTTAATAATCTATATTGCATTTAACTTGTATAAAGTCTAGAACAGCTTCTTATTTATAGTAACTTACGTAGTGCCTGCTCACTTCTGTATCTGTCAACTGCCCACTCTGCTAGCCGAGAGAGAAAGTTCTGAGTCTTTTTTTTTTCCCCTCCAAGAGAATACTTTACTGAAAAGCCAGTTCTAACATTTTGCACGTGAAAATCATAAGATTAATGCCTCCTTTCTCCCCTGGATCTCCCATTGTCCTTTGTCCATCAATCAGTTGCACCTGGGTTGTTTTCAGAAAGATCTGCCAGCCTCGGACAAGTGGAGGCAGTTAGAGCTCCCAGGCTTGTCACTTGACCTAAAATTATTTTATCTTCCTAAATACATCATAGAAGCATCTTGATCCCTCCCTCCCTCCCGCGAGGAATCCCTCTTCCCCTTCCCGCCCCTGGGGACTCCCCCCTCCTGTCCCCTCCCCTTCTCGCAACTTTTTTGCCCACCCGCGAGGGGAATCTCCGCAGCCCTGGCCTAAGAGACGTCGAGAAACCAGGAAGGGGAGATGGAGGGGCATTTCCTGCCTTCCTTCTCCCGTTTTAAGGGTTTTCATCTCTAAAATGAAGCTGTACCCAAAAAAACAACCTGATTCCTCCTTTCCACCAACAGAGTTGCATCTTCCCCAAGAATAAAATGAAATTAGGCACAGGAGCCATCAGATACCACAACAACGCTCTACAATACAGCAAAATGCCAGCCTCAATAAGGGTATTTCCTAACTGCTATCAGCAGTTGCACTCAGAGATTTCAAACGGAGAGGGATCCTGACAATCGAGGGAGGCCACAAGGGACAGGGCTTTTTTCCTGCTAGATTGGCAGCAACACATTTAACTGTTTAGTGCTGAGGGAGGTTTCAAGCAGCTGTTACACTCATTTTCATCCCTGTACCTGTTGGCATCTCTACTTGGTTGCTAATTGACTTTGCACTGAGGCTCCCTATGTTTGTAGTCTCACAAGGACAAGCTTTGGGAGAAGCACCCTGCCCTCAGGATTTCATTTGATAGCTTGCTATTCAGTTTGGAAGTCTACTGCTGCAAAGCGTGGCTTTAAAGGAGTTAAAGCCACAAAGTACCGTATTGCTAGAAAGGCTGGGAAGTGAGGCGAAGGATAGAGGAACTTCCTCTACCGGGCCACTCATTGGAGGAGGGTGGCGTGCAGAGAGGCTCTCTGGCTCTTCCAAGGATGGAAGCAGCAGCTGGCAGGTGAGTGGAGGGCAGGTCGGAGGAGAAGCCGGGAGCAAGTCGGGCTGTTTGGTTTCCTCCACAGCGAAGAAGCAGAGAAGCAACTAGGATATGCAATAACAGTTGGAAGAGAACTTTGAGGTCATCTAGTCCAATCCCTTGCTCGAGCAGGAGACCTTATGCATTTCAGGCAAATGGCTGTCCAGTCTCCTCTTCTTCTTTTTTTTTTTAATTGAAAATTTTATAAACTTTTTACAATAAAATACCTCCCCCCCTCCCACCCCCCATAACCCTCGCCCCTCCTTCCCAGAGCTGAATACAGGGTTAAAAAAAACCCAAAAAAACCCATACAAATTAAATGAACATCAATCAACTATACATACATCCAAAAAATTAAAAGTACTTTAACTCCAATACAGGGGTTCTCAACCTTGGCAACTTTAAGACTTGTGGACTTCAACTCCCAGAATTCCTCATCCAGTAAAGCTGGCTGAGGAATTCTGGGAGTTGAAGTCCACAAGTCTTAAAGTTGCCA